CGGTGACTTCCTAGGCCGAGCGGCCTCCCAGCAACCGGTACCTCCTCCCTTTCGGAGGGAAACATCATTGCAGGCTCTGCTAACCTCCGGACAGGCCCTAGACCCGGGCTACTTGGACTGGTACCGGCCTACCTCTAGCCTACCGCTACTGGGCCTCTAAAAATGCCAACCTTTTGTCTTCTTCTGCTCCGCCTCCAGTACCCGACACTTCTACCACTACCGGCCTACCTGCTACTTGAGTGTTTCTCCCCTCTGCTCTAAGTGTCGCGGGCCTACCCCCGCTACTCGAGTGTTTTCCCCCGCTGCAACCCTCACAGTCACGGCCACAGGTAAGTACCGGCCCTGCGGGGCCTTGCAACCAACAAGTACCCTTGCAGGTCACACACACACTCAACCGACAAGCACTCAGACAGGCATGCAAACCAGCAGGCACACACACACACACACACACAGACATGGAAGTCACAGCAGAATGCGGGAATTTCAGCAAGGCATTCATTCCAGCGGCAAATCCCAGAAATCAGCAGTGTTCTCAGTCTGTGTTTTTGGCGGGTCATTACACTACCCCTCCTTCAAGAGCGAGGTCCCTTCGAGCGAGTAACTCATTCAGAGTCGGCACAAAAAGCATCGTAGGCGACTTAGTAATACCGTAAGGAGTGAGTCTTGCAGAAAACTTAGCAGTCTGCCCATCAGCGATCTGTCGTTCATAGGCGTTCACAACACGGGGAGCATTCTTTAGCAGCTCTTTCCGGTCGATCCAAAAAAACTCGTTCAACGGGTGATAGAGGAAGTGAACCTTATACTGTCTGTTCCTCCCTCTACCTTCATGGGCAATGATTCTGTCTATCTCATGGCCGTCGTCGATAGGACGAGGTATCATAGGATCTCGGAAGGGAAAAGTTTCATCATCAATATGGGGAAACAGTTTGGATGCATGGAAGACCGGATATGTGTGCAGATGAAGAGGCACGTCAATCACATATGAAGGACCAAATTCATCCCCAATCACCTTCAGAACCTGCCAAGGGCCATAGTACAATGGAAGAAGCTTTCGTGATACGCCCTCTTCATCAGAAAACTCAGACATTTTGACCCGGACATAATCCCCTACTTTGAAGTTCGGTTCTTTGCGCGACTTGTTAGCATGTTTGATCATGGCATGCTGACGCTTGTTCATTGCAGCGATAGCAGCTTTGAGCAGGCATGCGTACTTGGCATTGTAGCCAGACATGCCGGGCGTCAGACCAGGGGACCGTTCGGGGAACAAATAGGAGAGAGGATTGCGCAACTGCCAACCATACTGTAGCTGATTTAGTGTCATGCCAGTTGCAGAGTGAATGGAGTTGTTGTACAACCCCTTCACTTTGTATAACTCCTTGTCCCATGTGTTCTGATCTGGAACAATTAGCGCGCGTAGTAGTTGAATGACAGTCTGGTTGATTTCCTCGGCCAGTCCATTGGCTTCGGGGTGTCGACCAGAAGTCTTGTTGAGTTTAATGTCATAGATCTGTGAAGTGAAGTCCTTCCAATCTGCACTAATGAACCTGGTGTCCCGATCACTCACAAGAGTTTTCGGGGGTCCATACTGCAGAATGTACTGCTGGTGAAATTCTTCGATCACAAGCTCAGTTGGTGCATGAGGAGGTAGAGGAATCAAGTTCATAAATTTGGAAAAGCGATCCACAATTACCATGACTTGTGAATGTCCTACCTCACTCACCTTCCCCATGTCCGTGAAATCAATAGAGACCGACTCACCGGGCCCATCAGGAATTGGGAGGGGTTTCAGCAGGCCATACGACTTATGCCTATGGACCTTGGTTCTTTGACAAACTTGACATTCAACAATAAATTTATGAGCAGATCCTTTCATTCCCGACCAATCAAACTACTGCAGAAGACTTCCATAAGCCTTCTCAAAGCCGAAATGTCCACTCCGACCATGTGCCAAATCCAAGAAATGAGTCCAGAGGGGCGCATGGTTGGGTACACACAAACGATCAAACTTTCCATACCGGCGGAATACAAAACCCTCGCACTCATGAAAATCAGGCTGACTGCTAGGGTCAGCCTTGAGCTGCTCAAGGATGGGACTAAGGTCCGGATCCTTGGCGGTGTGTTCGACTAGATCCTCCTTCAGTTTCCTTCGGAGGTCATACAAACTCACAAGGCAAGTCAAAAACTCAGGGTGACGCGACAAAGCATCGGCAACACGATTATAAGGCTAGAACCCTGAGTCATCTTTTAACTCAAACCTTGTTCTCTCTCCTAGGCTTACTGTGATGATCTAAGCTTCCCTCTGTCTCTCCCTCTTACTCTGAGGACTCACACTCGCATACTTCAAGCGTGGTGCCTCTCAGCTCTCACCCTCACTAACGCACACAACGCTCTTCACCGAGCTTAGTTGCTCAAGCGAGCGGGACGCCTGTCTCATCACTTCGCCCTCCAACCGCGTAGGGAGGACAGGCGTACCTGTTCGTAGCTGCAATCAGGATGAGCTCGGTCACGAGCTAATTTCGATGGCCCTCTCAGATCAGTTTGCCCTTAGCATTGGGTCGATTTCGACGAGTCTCACGCATACAGTGTCGTTCCTGAATGTGRTTTTTAATYCCATAGTGCCTACCGGGCTCTCGATGAGTYTGTGAAAAGGCTATGCTCGAGTTCGACCTTTTTGATTGAGTTCTCGCCCGCTCGGATCACCTGTTCAGATATTGGGCGCGTGCCTCGTTTTGCAGATATCTGTCGATGCACRTGTCACTAAGTTCCCAATGTCTCTGTGATCTTTCGAGTCTTCCAAGTCTGTAGGTTCACCATTGTCCCATCAGGCAGTAGGAGCCGAGCCTGAACCCCTGAACCAGCGATACGCAGATCGCAATATCTATCAATGAACCTAACACCGGGAACGAACGCTCATCCGCGCGGTTCTTTTCCCCTTCTCAAACGCAGATAGGCTTGCTCATCGGTCTCGTTCTCTCCCGTCTCGAGTTGAACATGTGCACGCTAAAAACCGTTTGCGAGTGTTAAACCCCCGAACACATGCCGCTTCTCTGCGCCCTTCCCTTTTGGCCCTCTTTGCTCTACCCTCGCGCTCGCTCGTCTTCTCGTCACTTGCCGCCCCACACTTCGATCAGGCTTCAAGTGCCCCCGTTGTTGAACTGCGACTGGGTTAACTCCAACATGAACAACTCTGGTCGCGTTCACAGCCAGATTAATCGAATCTGGGGCAACGAACTGAGCCGAATTCTTCAACTACTTTGTATCTCTCCGCCTATCCCTCTTGTCTCTTCTGCTCTATCTCTCACCTCTCTCGCTTACGAGTATTCCACACATCTCCTCTCTGACTCTGGCTCTCCCGCTTACGCACACACACACACACACACACACGCACACGTGCACGCTCCCACTCTCTCTCCCATTAACCATGAGATGGCTACTGACTAAGCAAGGAAAAACATTCAGGATTGTTCTTTTGTCCTGGCTGTTTAAAATACTTTTGTCTCTTCCTGGCTATTTAAAGTATTATTGTTTTGTCCTGGCTATTTGGAATACTACTGTTCTGAATGGAGCTCCTGAACAGAAGTCGAAATTCTGGTGCTTTCCCTTAACCACACCTACGCGAGCCAGATTCGATTATCAACGATCTCTTGCAAGTTCTCAGACTCGAATTAAACCCGTTATTATATTTTTATTAAAAGCCTCATCGTTTTCTTTTGCTCGTGAAGACCGTCATAGAAATTGGAAGTGAGAGGGGAACGCCACAGGCAGAACATACCCCATCACCCTGCTGGTCGCTGAGGACCTCGGAGGCGGGCGAGGCGAGTGACAGGCGCCGTAGCCCTTGGCTTCAGCGATCGGTAGGTAGCCCGTCCCTGGGTTTCCCCACACCGTGTCTAGCCCAGGGCCTGCCTCAGATACATTTGAGAAAGGGAGGCAGGGCCTGGGTTCTCTCAACCAACTGGCGCTGCGCAACTGCCTGAATTTCCCAGTTGTGTAGTAAGCCCAAAATAGGCCTCTCGTCCTTGGTCGGGCCTGCCTTCACTTAGGGCGGCCCACATTGCTGAATTCAGGGCCCAGTAGGGCTCGTCGAGGCCTTAAGCCTCGCACACTGCTGCCCATTGGAGAGACAGAGACACACACACACACACACACACACA